CAGGATCGGGGTGTCAGACGGAGCGGGCGGGCTGTTCCAAGGCTGTCGGGAGAGTAAGAGGAGGGAGGCAGTGACAAGGTGCCAAGTGGAACCTGGAGCCCCTCTGACCGGGAAGAGGCACACGCTCATCCACCCCCTGAGGATGGGTCCTTCAGATACAGCCTCAGGCTCCTCCAGAGCCCGGTTCACCTTTCGGGCTGTCCTGGGATACTCTCGCCTTGGTAAGCACCAGAATCCCCGAGACCTAGTTTAAAACTCAAGTGCCTGGGCCTCACCCCTACAGCTTGTCGGTCACCGGGTCTGGGGCGGGGCCCAGGCACCTGTGTTCTTCAGGTCTCCCGGGTGATGCTGGTGCGTCGAAGTCTGCCACCCACAGAAGCAGTTCCTGCCCCTTCTCGTCTTGAGCCTATCCCCTTCCCCTCTTTTCTGAGTCTTTTGCAATAATAAGGCTTTGGCTTCCAAGGGCAAGGAAAAGAAACTTGAATTACTGTGAATCATTAAAAAAACAGCAACCACAAAAACAAACAAACAAAAACACGCCACCCCCTGAACAAAAGCAAGTTATAAGGAGCCTGCAGTGGGCAGTCGCAACCTTGGCTGGTGGACAGCAGCGCCTCTATGGGGATGTTTTGTGTAGAAACCCAGGCCTCACCTTGGACACAGTGAGTCAGAACCTCCAGAGGGAGGTCCAGGTGTCAGCATCTCTCTAAGCCCCAAAGGCGACCTCCCAGCTCCTCCCCACTCCCCGCCCCACCTCCCTAATACAATTCCCATTGCCTTGTTCTGAAAATGGTCCTTCTCAATGGCAGTGCACGTCTCTAGCTTCGTGGGCAAACAGAACTAGGAAAGCAAATAAAGCATAAAAACCGTGCAGCAGGGTCAGCCTTCAGACCAAGCTTTTCCCGTTTTCTGCCCGCAGGTTTAACGATCTGCGCCTCGTGTTTGTCGTGCCCAAAATGTGGTCGACTGCAAAGGGCGGGGACCTGTGCCCGGATAATAACTCACGGGTGTAAAGCACTTTCAGCTTAGGAGCTGTAAGGAGTTTTCAAAAAGAGGGTCTTATTTGCCCAGCTGGCATGACTCAGTTTCATTCCCGGTCAGAGGCACATGCCTGGGTTGTGGGCTCGATCCCCAGTTGGGGGCATGCAGGAGGCAGCCAGTCAATGATTCTCTCTCATCATTGATGTTTCTAGCTCTCTCTCCCTCTCCCTTCCTTTACATATATATATAACATATATATGATTTATATATATACTAGAGGCCCAATGCATGAAATTCATACAATGGGCTTGGCCCTCACAACCCGGCTTTGTCCGGAAGGTCGTCTGGAAGGTTGTCCGGAAGGTCTAATTAGTATATTATGCTTTTATTATTATAGATGGACAACAGGCATGGCCAGCACCTGCTCCAGCAGTGACGCACCAGGCACCCAGCTAGGGAGACAGCTGTGAGCCCAACAGACACGTCCGTTCCACCGCCCTTAGAAGGAAAGAGTTAAGACCCCAAGCACACCCAATTCTTTCAGCCATCCAGCCTCATGGATCATTTCTGCCAACCACCCACCGGTGTAGTACATCGCCACAGTACGTTTCCCAGGGACATGTTTCCTGGCTCAGAGATGGCAAGAGGGGACGAGGATTCAGTCACAACTCTATGGTCCAAATGTGAGGAGGAAATCTAAGTCCTGGAGGTTCCAACCATGCCTATCTGCCTTTAAGAGTCCCTGCCACTTTAGTACAGTAACAAGAACCATTCAGTGCATGGGGAGCCCCCTTCAGCAAGCCAGCCTATACCGAAATGGCAGTGTGTGCAAGTGCAATGCATGTGTGCAAGTACATGCATGTGTGTGTGCATGCAGGTATGTACGTGCATGTGTGTGTGCATGTGCCCATGGCGGACCCACTGAGGGTGCTCCAGAAGCCACATCACCAACAGCAGGCACTCTCAGATGCTCTGTATCACTGGCTGCAAAGCAGATAAATGGAGGAGGGAGCTGAGGAGAGGGAGGACCCCTACCACCTGCTAATGTCCCCTGGAGCCTATCTAGACACGACTACCAGCCAGGCTGTCTCTGAGAGGAGAGCCTCAGACAGAGTCCCCAACACCCACTCCCTTCCCGGCCCCCGCAGACCTGGGCAGCCTCCCTGAGATGGCAGATCCCAGGAGAAGGAGGGGCTGAGGGGAACACGTCTCCCAGGAGCAGACGCTAAGACACAGAGCACGCTGAGGAAAGCACGGGGCAACGGCGCAGACCGTGTGCTGCCCTTGTTTTTCCAAAAATAGAGAATTACATTTCCAAGAGCACATATTCACATACGACAAGCCCGGGGCCATCTAACAGCGCGATGATGGGAACCGCCTGGCAGACGACACCGAGACGGCCGGCCGGTGCTGTGCGGGTATGAAAATAGCTGCGGATGAAGATCATTTCAAACTCAGGAACAACACACTGAGACGGCTCGGCCCGATTCAATATGCATCAGTGTGCGCGCACAGAAATCCGTGGAAGAAGAGAGAGCTCCCTGAGTCAGGGCGGGTTCTGCTAGGGAGCGGATGTAAAGTGTACCGAACAACACAGGCAAACGGGGGAAGGGGTTATGTTTCAAGATCTAAAAGGCACGTCATTCGTTTTCTCAAAGAAAGAGAAGAAGTCTGGAAGAGCGCCCACGAAACCGATGACAACGGTTGGCTGGGAAGAGAATGGGAACAGGAGAGTGTCCCAGACCATGAGGACTGTCACAACAAGTGACCCCAGTCTGGGGGGCTTACAAACCACAGAAATGTGTTTCTCACGGATCAGCAGACCAAGTCCAAGATCAAACTCTGCCAGATCCGGTGCCTGATGAGGGCTTCCTTCCTGGCTCACAGGTGGTGTCTTCCTGCTGTGTCCTCACACGGCGGAAGCGAGCTCTCAGGGGCTCTTGTAAAGGGCACTAATCCCACTCGTGGGGGCTCCACACTCATAGCCTGATGACCTGCAGAGGCCCCCACCTCCCAGGACCGTCACACTGGGGATTAGGTTCAACATGAATTTTGGAGGGACACAGCCTATAACAGGAAGGCATTGTCACAGAAATGTTTTATTTGATAATGAGATGTTTGCGTTGTACTGATGTAATACTAATATGATGACTAACAGGAAAGATGAGAGGCCTTGGGGAAATATGCCCTTGCCTCCTTCCCCACCCCACCCACCAGTAGAAAGTCCCTCCTTTAAACTGAAGGTGAAGGCTCCCTGCCTACCACCATCCTTAACTTCACAGAGAAGCAAAACTGCAAAGATCATCAAAATGTCAACATCTTTGACATATTTTTCATCAAAATGTCAACATCGATAGCTGTTGGGCATCCATTCTGTTTCTCCCTCGGGTCATCCTTAGGGAGGGATACTGGGCTCGGGCTGGCCCAGGCCTCAGCCCCTTCCCCCGGCCTCTTGCCAGCTGCTTCTCAGGCCAAGCAGGGTGCACGCTCCCCACCCACCCCCCTCTCCCCCTTTCATAAAGACTCCATTTGGCAAAGCCGCTGCAAATCCCTGCCAGCTCATTAACTGTTACTGCGGGAGCCTCCTCTGCTTTATTCCCAGATAAATAAATAAAAACCAATACCCAGTTCAGAGAGACGTTTGATGCATCCGCGGTTAACGAAGCCACAGTGGCTTCCCCCGGACAGGCTGTGATGAGTAAAACCCTTTTCATGAGCCATATTTTGCTTCGGCTCCAAAAGGGGGACAAATAAATCTGAAAGGCTGAGTGAAGGGCAGGGGAGTCAGAGGATAGAGTCCCATTAACCGCGTCCTTCCCGCCCACCTGGGAGTCCTGCTGCCATCAGGGCCTGAATCTATGAAGATATCCAGGGTGGGCGGCCCCAACAGGCAGTGGGACCAGTGAAGGGCCAAGGGCAAGGGCTCCAGCCACCCCTCTGCCCTGCTGGATTCGGCATGCTCACTTCTCCGAGGAAAGCAACACAGAGGCCGACTCACTTCCTCTCACCCACCCGACTCCATGCACTCCATCCACTCCATAAGCCCCATAAGGGTGCTCAGCCCTGTCTACCGATGGCAGTGCATGACAGCCCCGCTCTAGCCAATGGCCTTTGTCAGTCTCATGGCCTGGCCTCGACTCTCTCTTGGGGGATCCCAGCCAGACTTCAGGCTGTGGTTCTAAGTGTGCTTCTCCTTTTTTTCAATATATTTTTATTGATTTCAGAGAGAGGAATAGAGAGGGGGAGAGAGATGGAAACACCAGCGATGAGAGAGAATCATGGATCGGCTGCCTTCTGCACGCCCCACACTGGGGACCGAGCCTGCAACCCAGGCATGTGCCCTGACTGGGAATCGAACCGTGACCTCCTGGTTTATAGGTCAACACTCAACCACTGAGCAACCCTGGCCGGGCGTTACTGTGCTTCCTTATACACACTCGTTCCCCAAATCCAACCCGCCAGCCCTATTAGAATACGTTACCAGATTTTTGAATTTTGACTTTGCAGCCACTAAAGGGAGTTAGCCTCGAGTTATGGGAAGGAGGAGTGGAGCTAAGGGGCCCGCCACCAGTGACTGGCAGAAGTGGGCTCCACCCAGAGCCTGGCCGCCCAGCCTCCGCACCTCTTCCTCCTATTCATAGGCCCTGTGGATGCGATGCTTTGTCACTGGTCCTACACTATTGTCAGGTGTGTTGTCATCTCCCCGGTGACATCATAAGCCCCTTAAGGGTCAGGACCCTGATCCTGGTCACTCACTTCTCCCAGTTTCACATACATGGCGCCGCACGGTGCATTGCCAGCTGCTCTCTATATTTATAACGAAGGCTGACATTTGAAATCCGAACTTAGCAAAACGTAACCACGGGGATGATTAGTCATATTACCAAGAGCTTCTTTCCTTTTAGGGGAAACGTCAGATCCAGTTCCTCCACATAAAAGCCCTACACGGTCCGCAGCATCTATTCTGGAATCACGGGCTACCGACAGAGGGAACGTCACGTTTCAGGGGCGGTACTCACCAGCTGAGGCATCAGGACGTCGGCCAAGTAGACGAACGCAGCACCGAGGGTGAAGCCCACCGCCACGGGGAAGAAGGCAAAAGCACCGAAGCCCCCGGAGGACGTGGCCATCTCGACCGCTGGGGCCAGGAGGGACCAGTAGGAGGCTGCCAACATGACCTGCAGAACCACAGTGAGCAGCAGACCGTTAAACCAGCCAGACGCCTCCCGACTGCGGCTTCACTTGCTCTCCACGGCCCAAACACAGCCCAACGACGTCACATGGGTTAGGCCTTTCATCCTCCATGGCAGGTCCCATCCCAAACCAAAAGCCACCTTCGGAACTCCTGGAACCGATGCCGTTAAGAACTCAATTTGGGGCAGAAATGGCATGGACCTAGGAAGGACGGAGTGTGGTTTGCTGCCATCTAACCTCTATTTCAATGATTCTCAACCAAGGGCCATGTTGCCCTCCAGGTGGCATTGGGCAATGTCTGGAGACATCTTCGGTTGTCATACGAGGGGCATCGAGTAACTAGAGGGCACAAGTGCTTGTAAACATATGTAGCGCACAGCCCCTGACAACAAAGTCCCTGGCCCCAGTGTCAATAGCACAGCTGTCCTGTCCTAGCTGAACACTCCAGGACAAGTCTTCCTTATGTTCCATGGGACTCTCTCTCCCTTCCACGTTTACCTACTAGCTCTAGGCCTGCTCCCTGGAGCACCAGAGAATGGTCTTTCCTCTGTGAGGGGTGATGGCCTTTGAAATATCTGGGGACAACCAGTGAGTCGATGTCAGCATAGTCCTGTCAATCTTCTTGTCATGGAAAAGGAAGAAGGGAATGAACACTTTTATTGACTTCAGAGAGGAAAAAGGAGGGAGAGAGAGATGGAAATATCAATGATGAGAGAGAATTATTGATTGATTGCCCCCTGCAAGCCCCCCTACTGGGGATCGAGCCCCAAACCCGGACATGTGCCCTGACCAGGAATCAAACAGTGAGGCCACACTGGCCGGGAGGGAAAAGACATTTATTGATCACCTACTATTTCCAGGGAGCACGCTTCACATTGGATATCGTCCCTTATCATCACAAAAACCCTGAGAGGTAGATACTGTTTCCTCTTGCTATTTGTAGATAAAGAAACTGAATCTCAAGGTTCTAAGATAACCTGCCCCAGGTCACAGAGCCAGTAAGTGGCCGATTCAGGGAGCTCAGCAAGCAAGGACCATGATCGCCTCAATGCGGGGCCGGACACGGGCGAAGCGGGAAGCGAGGCTGGAGCCAGATCTCAGGGAGGGCGGCTCAAGAAAGGAGTCTCCAGCGTTGAGCAAATTAAACACGCACCCAGCCATCTACTCCCAGAGGCGCCGTGGCATCTCGGCTGGAGTACTCCCACTACTGTGACAGTCGTCACCGACATGCAAAACGTTGAATGGGTTTCTAAAAGTGACTTAATTATGCCTTGTCTTGAAAAAAGACATCTGCATCATCCACCTCCCAAAAAACACATGCAGTGACAGAGCCAGGTGTCACAAGAGTGACAATGAAGGACAAATCCCTACGGAAAGCGGCTTCCCTCCTGCCAGCCTCATCCACACGCAGAAGCCTTAGTGCCGCTCCCAGAAAACTGCCAATGCTTCAGGAACTCCCAAAAAGAAGGAAAATGTCTTAGCAGTTCAGCTCCCCAAGACCGTGGAAGGAAGCCGTGGGCTCGTTCTCCAGGCCACGGCCTACTCCATCCCTTTCCCAGGCTGCAGTCTCACTAGCTTTCGAACCCACAGTCCTTGGTAGCTGCCATTCATGGTAAACTCCCCACCGAAGACGACCTACCCAGCTACCTCTCTCCCATATCCCCACCATCAACAAATCCAAAACCGTGACCCAGGTAAGGACACTCACTCATCTCATCCTCCAACACATTCCATCCTATCAACGTGACTGCCCCACCAGACATTCAGGGGTGCCCCCTCTCCCCACAACCCCCGCTGCCCAGCTAGGAATAAGGAGTACCACACCGAAAATAGGAGACCGTGAATGTCTATGAGCTGCATGGGAGTGACCCCCATGCTCTCCCATCTCAGCCCAGCCTCTTCCCCAGCCCCATCCATCCCTCACCCCCTGGCTGCTTCTACCAAAGCCTGTCTTCCCCAAATTCCTTGCACAGGAGCCCCCACATCCATCCCTGCTTCTGGGGAAGCTGGCTGGAGACCACCTCCCAGGCACCTTTCTCAGAAAGAGACTCAAGGGTGTGTTTTCACAGGTAAAAGGCAGTAAGACAAGTCGAGAAGAACAGGGGAGAGAAAAGAAGGGAATCCCTGGGGGGGATGGGGGGTGAGAGAGGATGCGGGGAACAAGGGGTCACAGACCCGGAGAGCAGGAGCTGAGAGGGACAGGAAGGGGGCTGGAGGGCTCCTAGGGAGAGCGAATGGCAGAGCCCTGAGAGGTCCCAAAGTGGGACAGGAATCTGCACTTCCGGTGGGAGACTGGTAACAGGGGTTCCCGTGAACGTGGGGAAAGCAAGAAAGAGATGCCTTTACTAACTCTGGAAAACACAGCAATTGCACAAGAAAGGAAACAAAGGAATAATATTTACAGTTTTAATCATGTAAGCTATTTTATTTATTAATTAATTTGATTATTTCCTATGGAGATACACACACACACACACACACACACACACACACATATCCCATACAATTTGCCATTTTGAAGCCTACAGTTCAGTGGCATTCATTACATTCAGAGTGCTGTACAAACATCACTATTTCCAAACCTTTCTCACCACCCCAAACAGAAGCCCAGGAACCGTTAAGCAAGAATGCCCCATCCTCCCTTCCCCCCAGCTCCCGGAACCTCTAACCTACTCTCTGCCTCGATGAACTTGCCTATTCTCGAGTGTTCGTGTAAGTGGATAATACAGTATTCGTCCCTTTGTGTCTGGATCGTTTCTGCGGAGTGTCATGCTTTTAAGGCTGACGCATGTTACAACATGGGTCAGCCCGTTGGAAAGTCATGAGAGATGTCTGCGGCTGGACAAGTCACGAGGTGGCAAAGTTGTGCATACAGTTGAGACTTGTGGAGACCAAACACTGAAGAAACAGTTAAAACGGCTGAGCGGCCGGAATCGGGTGGGGAAGGTCAGCAGACTCTGGCTTCTGTTATAAACCCGGCAGAACAACCTGACTTTTTAAACTATACAAGCATATCTTTTTTTTTTTTTTTTTTGGGGGGGGGGGGGGGGCGGAGAGGGGGTTGTTAAATAAACGAATAATATAATTTGAAAATATATAAACATATAGAAGTAAATGTTATCAGGAAAGTTGTAATGTAATTTTTTTAAATATGTATTTTTATTGATTTCAGAGAGAGAGAAACATCAATGATGAGAGAGAATCATTGATTGGCTGCCTCCTGCACACCCCGCACTGGGGATCAAGCCCACAACCCAGGCATGTGCCCTTGACCAGAATCAAACCTGAGACCCTTCAGTCCGCACGCCGACGCTCTATCCACTGAGCCATACCAGCTAGGGTTGTAATATAATTTTTAAATGGTTACAAGGCTCTGATTTCAGAGAAAATTCAAAGGGGGAAATGCTGCCACGTACAAGAACTCAATTTCCAGAAATGTTTTTCTGCCTGATAATGAGACACCCACCTGAATGGTATGTTTTTAGGTTTTTTGTTTGTCTGTGGTTGCTTTGTTAAATCTTTATTGATGTAAGTATTACACACGTCTCCTTTTTCCCCCATTGACCTCTCCCAGCCCGCTCCCGCCCCCCGGCACAGGCCCTCACCGAATGGTGTGTTTTTGTTGACACTGCCTAAATCACAGCCTTGACACCAGAATATTGAAAGGGACTGGAGGAGACACTTAAAATCAGCAGATATTTAAAAGCTCTGAGAGAAAATCCCCCATTTCCCTTCGGTAATTCCCCAAACCTAGCAAAACTCATATGCTCCTTTTTCTCAAAATACCGTGCAAAATACCACTGGGATCCATACTTCAAAATGCTATTAATTTCCCTCTGGTGTCAGCGGTACCAGCACAGAATAATCAGGGACGATCAGCTAATTCCCTAGCCTACGGCACGCAAACCTTCTCATTTCTGCTTAAGTGCTCATTTGGGGGCAATTTCAGCTCTGCAAATATAAATGAATTGGTGAAGAGTTCCTAAAGGAATACAGCCTCATGTTCAGGCATGATGGGGGCAGTTAAGCATTTCTTTTATGATAGTAATGACAGCGTAAAAGTAGAAGAAAATCCAAGCCACAAAACAAAATTTCCCTCTTCATAAAACGGGGAGAGAAATGCATTGCACTCTGATCACTAGCAACACACTGAGCATCAGTATGTTACTCAATGGCACTGTCTCTACGGACAAGGTGCATGCAAGTCTACAGAGACAGGAACACAGAGTTCAGAACACAAAGGCTGCTCAGGTGGGTCCTCCGTCAATGTTTGTTGAAGCAAATGAACGTGGACTCTACCCCCAAGGCCAATGTATAATTAAGGAGGAGGCACAAACTTGCAATCCATACAAATCAAGGCAATAATTACTCCGAAAAGTACAGAAGCCGAGTAATGTATCTAATTTGGCCTCTGAATCAGATATAAAATTAATTTGTAAAAGTCAATTAATAGGTACTGCATTTGTGGCTACAGCTGGATCAACATTATGCTGGATTCTAGGGGGCGGAGAGGGAGGAAGAGGGATACAAAAGCTGATCTGGCTCTACCTTTGAGGGCCTGGCTACACACCATAAGAGAGACTGTAGAGATGTGTGATATGATCAATAGAGAAGGCACCGAAACCACAGGTGAGAAAGGCCGTGGTCATTCCACGTAAGGAGATGGCAACGCTGTAAAGAAAGAACATCGGAGAAAACATGGGGAAGAGCTCTTGACAGCTGCACGTGGTCTGGAAAGAAAGGAGCCAAGAGTCAGGCCATTCTTAAATGCTAAGTGTCTGCGGTGTTAGACAAGCATAGAAATCCTATGCAAAAGGACCTCAGTATCCACTCTCAGTGGCCACAGGTCTTTGCTGGTGAGGCCCCTGCCCATACTAGTTTCCTAAAGAAAGGACCATCACCCAAGACATACCTAGGCTTCAGACATATACTAACTAACAAGCGAATTCTAACTTCCTCTGCGAAAACAAAGGAAAAGGGTTAA